AACCCCCCCCCTCCAAAAAGAAAAGGAGAGGTGCTTCAGCTACAAGTGGGAAAAAGAAAAAAAAAGTGTAAATAGTCAAGGGGTCAAAAAGAATGATCCAAAGGTTAAAAAGAATAATCAAAACAGAAAAAAAATGTAAAAGATCAAAAAATCAATAAGGATGATCAAAAAAGAAAAAATCAATGTCAATATCTCCGCAGCAGATGGTGTGAGAATGGTATTGAGAGATGAAAGAATGCCAACAAGCTAAAAGGGCGCAAGACACCATTTTGTTAGTCTAGCGATCACAAGATGGCTGAGCTGGCTGCTGTGGTGGTTAATAAAGCCCTATCTACCCCCTGAAGGAGTAATGAACCCTGGCATTATAACAGTGGAAGCCTCCACCTCCATGGGTGGGATTGATTCCAGGGGGTGAAAAAAGGCAGAAAAATTGGCTGCGGAGTCCAAATCTAAAAAAGCCTCAAAATCAGCCTCCAAGGCAGAGAAGGGGCAAGACAAGTCATCCAATAAGCAAGCTCCCACTGCATCTCACAGGTCCCACTTATCATCATCTAAAGGGGATCAAGCATCTTACATCAGCAATAGATTTTTCCAGCTATCCCCTACTGGGCTGGGGCAGGGCCCTTTAGTCCATTATTTCCTATCAACACAAAGGCCTTTGGGGATCAGGCTCTGATCTCCAAAGCAATATATTAGCAGAGCAGCATATAGGGTCTGGGAGTAATAGGCCTGCTGGGGCCACCTTCACTTCTACAGCTGTGGGCCTTCACTAGGCTTTCCAATGAACACTCTAGCCTTGCCCAATATTCAAGACATTATTGCATTGGCTCATTAGCCAGGGCATAGCAGCTGGGCTGCACCAAGGGGCAGGAGCAGTTCCACCAGTGGTTCCTGTGGCCCCACCTGTGGTCCCTCCTACTGCAGTTCCCAGGTCTTCTACGCAGGGGGAGATATCACCATCTCATTCTCAGCACAGCCAGTCCCCAGTGTCAGAGGAGGGAGAGCTCAAGGACGCAGAGTTCTCTGAAGACGAAGAGGCAGTGCCTGAAAAGGTCTCATTCCTCAGGTGTTGTGCAAGGTGATCACTGAAAGGGCAGAGGTGATTCTGGTGGCCCCTCATTGGCCATGATGGCCATAATTCTCTGACCTACAGACCTTGTCGGTGGATCTCTCAGGCCAAGGGTGCCCTCAGCCAGGGGTCACTGGAGCATCCAGACCCTTAGTGGCTCCAGTTGACTACCTGGTGCTTGAGCACGACTCTCTGAGGGAGGACAATTTTTCCTCCAGGGTCATTGGCACAATTCAGGCATCCAGGAGGCCCTCCATGGTCCACATATATGATGCTACATGGCGTAATTTCTGTAAATGGTGCGAGGCCAAGACTATTTAGTCTTTCCACTACTTCTGTACTCCAGGTATTGGAATTTCTCCAAGATGGCCTGGAGAAAGGTCTATTACCTAATACACTGAGAAGGCTGGTAGCAGCTCTGGCCACTATTCTGACATGGAGGCGGGAGCAATATTTGTCCCCTCACCCAACTGTGAGGAGGTTCTTAAAGAGTGTGGTCAACTTGAGACCACCAGTGGTTCACTGCTAACCCACTCAAAGGTTTTATCAGCTCTAACCGGGGGTGGGTGTTGAACCTCTATGCTCTGTTGAACTGCAATTCCTTACCTGGAAAGTTGCCTTCCTGGTGGCTATTACTTCCACCAGGAGGATCTTGGAACTGCAGGCTTTGTCAGTGAGGGAGGATCTTTGTACCTTCCACACTGACAGAGTGGTCCTAAGGTTAGACCCTTCATTTATACCCAAGGTTTCCTCCTGGTTTCACCAGGCCCAGGAAGTCATTTTACCCAACTTCTGTCCCTCCCCTAGGTATCCCTTGGAGAGAAGGTGGTACAAGCTGGATGTGTGACGGGCCCTTAAGGTCTATATCAGTCGCACTTCCGATTTTAGGAGGTCAGAAATTTTTTTTGTATTATTCCAGCCAATGACACTAGGACGGAAGGTATCTGCCTCAACCATTGACAGGTGGCTTCACATCTGTACATCTGCATAGCATACAATTTACAACATGGGCTGGTGCTTAGAGACATAACTGCACACTCTATGAGAAGTGCAGCTACTATGGCAGCTTGGGCAACACAAGCCTCTCTAAATGAGATCTGCAGGTCGGCCACCTGGGTTTCACCATCCCCGTTCATTACCAACTATAAATTAGATAAATTTGCATCTGCAGAGGCAGCATTTGGCCACAGGATCTTACAAGCATTTCACTTGGCAACACCTGTTTCAGATCAGTCTGGATCTCTCCTGTAGGGATAATAGGCTTGGGTATGTCCCAGGCATGGAAGCTATCTCCACCAGCTATTGAGAAACGGTGTTGATACTTACCTGATACGCCTCTTCTAATAGAGTAGAGATAGCATCCATCCCCTCCCTACTATACAATTGATCTGCATTACGAACTGTTTTGAAATACCCTTGGTATCAAGGGTTTATGTACCTCAAGAAGGATTATGGTTCAAGCTCTTCATTGTCGTGTTGTGGTTTGCTAAGACTTAATTGCTGATGAGTTATTGTTTACTAAAGTTAATGTTTGATGACACATTGAGTCTGTCTAAGTTCTTCTTTGCCGAAAAACTGGGTAAGGCTAGCAACAGGGGGTATACTTTAACAATATTTAATCAGTCCAATCCAAAGGCGGATAATGTCAACTCATGGATGAGTGCAGTCTCCACCCTATTAGAAGAGGCGTAACAGGTAAGTACCAACACCCTTTTTACTCAGATACAAACCTCGAATGAACTGCACAATTGGATGGAAATAGCTCAAATAAATGGCTGAAAAATGATACGTCTAACGACCATGGTTGCTTACCTCAGATTGAACAAATCGTAGCACAACATAGATAACCTCAAAGGGAAACCGGAATAAACCATGATCCCAAAACACACAAAAATGCTGACAACCACCATTTGATAGAGTTGTTCTAGTTCTATTTGCAGACTTTCGTATTTTGTGATTTTCTCCAGTTCTTTTTCTTCTTCTTTCTTTTGCTGTCTCCAGTTACTGCCACGTCCACTATTGAAGCATTTTAAAAATCTTTTTAAATTAATAATTGCTAAGAAAGCTTTTGTGTGTCAAGTGCTTGTTTTCTTACATTCTAAGAACATTCAAAAGTGTCTTAGAGCACTTCAACTTCTTCATTACTTTATCTATTTGTAGTCCCACCAACAATTGCTTGAAAATGGTATTTCTTGCAGATCTTCCAATGCAGCATTGTTGCTCCTTTGTCATGCCATTGTTTGTATAATCAGTCTGTTTGATCTTCTTGTAACAGTTAATTAGATGGTCCATTGCTTTTTTAGCTTCTTTGCAGAGGCAGCATTTTCTCTCTGTTGCTGTCTTCTCAATTCTGGCTTTGTATGCACGTGTCCTTAAGGCTTGGTCTTGTGCAGCCAGAATTGGCCCTCAATATCTTTCTTCAACTTTCCTACACTCAACCATTGCCAGTCTTGTTATTATCTACTTTGTCTGCTATTTTTTATATACTGGACCTGCAATACTTTGCCTTTTCATGTCTCTTTAATGTTCTTCACTTTGTTTTTCTTGTATGCTATTTGGGTCTTTCCAGTTAAGCCTTTGTGGTATATTAACTTCAATCTTCCTCACTTTAGATATTCTTCCAATGCCCTTTTTTCTTCTTTAGTTGTCTGGAATACTTGAAATATTTAATGCTCACCTATTTTCTTTAATAAATAAAGTCTGTCCACATTGTTATATGAATGAAGGGCAAGATTCACTGTCCTTTTAATGGTCTTCCTATTCATGACTTCCAGTTCAGATTGAGTTCAGTTCACTATTCCAGCTGTATACAGTATCTAATGACTAGAATTGCCCAGGTGTTAATTGCCTTGATGGTATTTCTTTCATTGATTTCTCAACATTAAGATGTGGTTCATACTCTTTTTTGTACAGGATAATGACTGATCTGGTATGAGTTTCTACAAATCACATTTCCCATTTTGTTTTTGGGAAAGACACTCTTTGTCCAGCATCTCTGATGAGATCTGTCTGTTATGATTGAACATCTGGCATACCTCTAATCTTCCCCAGAGCTCACAAGCCCTATAACCATGTCAAGATAGTGTTTCAATGGGGGAGTATTATTACTATTTTTATTATTACTATCTATATAGATAAATATTAATTATATAATTACCATCCATATTTTTGAACAAGCCTATCCAAAAATCTGTATATTCAAGTTTTCCCATTTGTTCCTGTAAAAATTGTAATTCATCTGAATCTTCAACTGAAGTCAAGGCACCACCTATGAAACATAAGATAAATAAAAAAGCTCATTAACAGGTTCTATTAAATAAAAGGGAGGCGGGGGAACCCTTGCAGGGCAGAGCTGAGGACTATGCCCAATTCTTAGCGGACAAAAT